AGGGCGGGGAAAGAGCCGTGCTTGGGCACAAACCACGCTCCTGCGAGGGCAGGGAGTGGAAGGGGTGTCCATCCTTGTCTGCCATCTGCTTTTGCTCTGGACTGACCCACTCTAAAACACAGAGAACCCCCTAACTGGGCTGCACAGGTGCGTGCAGGCTGGCAGTCCACCTCCTGCTTCCCCAGGGCTCGGCTCTCTGAAACGCCGGAGACAACCCTGGCACTGAACCTTCCTCTTCCCTTGGGCAGCTGGGGCCAAGGGGGAAAAGCAAGCAGCATGAAGCCTCCCAGAGTCTGTAAAACTGAGCAAGCTGTGGACAACAAATAAAGTTCTTGTGTATTTTATGAGCAGGTTTCAAGCCTTTCACCGTGGGCAGAGGGCTTTTCCAGAAACGCAGTTAATAAAAGCCCTTGGATGTTGAGATCAGGAAATAGAGGACCATAACGTCCATACTCTAACTTTGCTCTAATCCATACTTCTCTCTTAAAGGATATTTAGATTCATTTTTTTCTCCTATTCAGGGGCAACTCCCTCAAGGACCAGAAATTTCTTTTTACAGAGTCGCTGTAAAACTGAAAATAATGCCGTGTAACGTTGATCAAGCCAAAGCCCCTCAAGCTCAGCACAGAACTCAGCCCATCAGTAGGAGTCAGCTCCAAAAGCAGCATTCGCCATCTCCTCAGATGATTGCAGCCAGGTCCCGGCCAAGGCTGGGCCCTGCACGGAGAGTATTTCAGACCGTGAAACCGTGCTGCTCTCTACGAAGGGGAAAACACTCCTTGGAAAGGGAAGTCTGCAAAGCAACCCTGGGCATGGATCCAGATCCATCCCTGACCTGCAAAACACACGCTTGTAAGGTGGCAGACACATATGCAGAGCTTAATTTGACTTTCATTCTTGCCTCTCTTCCTTCTTGCCCTGTCCTCGGGAGCTGGGTGCCCTCGGCTATTTGCAATGGAGCTTTACAGGTGAGAAAAGGAGCCCAAAGGACAAAGCATCAGCCAAGAGAGGACTGGAGAGAAGGTAATGGCATGTACCGGGGTTGAAGAGGACAATGGCTCGCAGGCAGCCTAGCTCTGTCTTGTCCATCTGCATGTCTCGCATTTTTGACACGAGTTCTGTCAGTACTCTGCAAAGGACACAGAAATCACAGGTGTCAGCGTTAAAAAGAAATGGAAAGAGCACCCAGGTGTCAGACCCAGCGCGAGGTCCTCCGCGGTTCACGAAGTCATGGGATAGCGCTCGCCTATACCAGCTGAGGATATGCCCTCATTTTCCTCCTGCATCAAAAATAGCTCATTAGGAACATCAATAGTTCCTGTGAGATACAACAGGGACCGTAAAACCTGGCTTCATACATTCACTGAGAGGCTTTGGCACCTGAGAAAGCTGCCTAAAAATAAAAAATAATAACATAAAAAAAACCCCAACACAACAGGTACCTAAAAGCAATTTCCTCTGCCGGTAATTTTTATTACTCCCTTTGCTCTTACTGCAGGTGCCAGTCTTGAAATATTTTCCACTGATTGCCCAGTTTTTCCTGTTAGATCCTGCAGTGAAGCCATGATCTTGCACTCATGACCTCACAGGAAACAAATGATGTCACTCAGGTCCAAAGAATAACTTCCTTGCAAAGCAAAGAAGCAAAAGTGATTTGGTTCCAACTAAGCCGTATCAAGATGAGTCTGGGGCAGGGAAATAAGCCACAATTTAAGCGGCATCTGGAGCCACACTGTGGGTCAAACACCCTGGAAGTCTGGCTTTAAAACACTTTCCCAAAGCACGAGATAAAAGAGCCCTCGGGACACGCATGTGGAACCTGCTGGGTATTTTTGGTGCTTTTTCATTGTGAAAATAAAATCGTGTCTTGGTCCAATTAAAGATGAAAAGAAACAAAGAAGCGGCCTCCTTGTAACATTAGAAGGCATCTGGAGGCCATGAAAGCGGCTTTGATTTGTGCTGGGCAGCCCTCTCCCTGACTATTCCGGGCTGTTGCTTTCTGCAGGTTTAAGAGTGGGGATTTAATGCCATTGCCTGCAGCAAGGACCATGACATTTCCATGCATGCCGTGGGATGGACACGCCTCATCCCAGGCTCCGAGGATGACAAGCCCACGCGCCCACACATCTCCACCCGACCCATCTCCAGGCTGCACTGCAGGGTACAGAGGCAGAGAGGAGGATGTCCAGGCAAGGTGGCGTGAGATGGGTTCCCCACCATCCACCCCTCCTCTGCCCACCTGTCGAAGATGGCCCCGACGCCAGCACTGTGCGCGCTGTTGCGGTGCACGTGGAGCCCGGTGGCTAAGAGGATCCCGTCTTTCACGGCTATGGAGCGGTGGGAGAAGGAGGCGATTAGAAGCTCATTCCACCCTGGGGAGGAGAAAACAACCAAGGTTAGAGCCGCAGGGTCCTCAGTGGGTTCGGGAATCAGCAACATCACCTCCCCAGCACCAAAAGGAGAGGAGGAAACTGCTCAAGAACTGCCTTTGCTGGAGTAACATGGCTGGACACGGGCAGGGAGTGGGGAGCCAGCTCCTTCTTGGATGGCAGGGAAGGAGAAAACCATTAAGGAGCAAATGCACTACAAATACAACACTAATCAGGGAGGTGGTTTCCTCTATAAACCTTGTGGGCAGCTCAGCGAAGAGCTCTCTGCCCGGCTCCTCTCCCGTGAACCCAGACATGGGTGGGCAGCCCTGCACTCCCCCTCTGACCTCACCCTCCCTGCCTCCGAGCAGTTCGAGACCTGAGTTCAAGAATGCCCCTCCCAAAAAAACCCATAACAAGAAGAATTGCTGTAAAGTTTTGAAAAGCACCAAGTTTGGTGACTTTGAACCAGGAGAGGCATCTCCAATAAGACAAGACGAGTCTTCTGCAACCCTGGGGAGTCTCATGCTCATCCTGTGGCTGATTCGCCCAGTCTGAAAATGTTCTGGTGTCCAGGACACAGGGCTGCTTGGCAAGGTCCAAAAATGTCAGGATATTTGGCTTTTTTTTTTTTTATTTGCCAGGCTGGAAAAGCCTGCATCAACGCAACAACATCCTTCCCCTCCTCTGCTGCCACTGAAACGTGTCTTTTTTCGTCAACTGGAATAAATGCATGGTCCACGTGTGCTGTGTTTACCTAGTGTTGCAGAGATGGGCTGTGC